GGTGAAGAAAAATGGAAGAAGGTAAAGAAGAATAAGAAGAATAAGAAGAACGAGAAGAATAAGAAGGATAAGAAAAAGAATAAGGAAAAAAAGAAGGAAAAAAAGAAGAAGCAGAAGGAGAAAAAGAAGAAGAAGAAGAAGTAGGAAGAGGAGAATAAGCAGAAGGAGAAGGTGAAGAAAAAGGAGAATAAGGAGAAAGATAAGGGGGAAAAAAGAAGAAAAAGAAGAGGGAAAAGAAGAAGAAGCAGAAGAAGCAGAATGTGAAGAGAATGAGAAGAGAAATGAAGGTTAGCAGAAGAATAAGTAGAAGAAGGAGGAAGAGAAGAAGAAGGAGGAGTAAAAGAAGAAGGAGAAGAAGAACAAGAATGAGGAATATTTGTATTTCTCAAAATGCTCTTACCAGAAACCGAAAGCGAGCAATTTGCTCGACGCATGCAGTGGAATAGAGTAAAGAAGAGTGTAATCTGTCAGCGTATAGTGTATGCTAGAGTGTGTCAGCCGAGTAAAGTGGATTAGAGTAGTGTAGAGTAGAGAAGAGTAGAGCAGATTGTAGTGTAGTGTAGTGTAGTGTAGTGTAGTGTAGTGTAGTGAATAGAGTGCCAACACAAACGGCAATTGGGTGAGACTGGCCTGAGCATTGTCGAGGATGGCCTTCTTCTCGGCCAGCATCTCCTCGGCGGCGCCCAAGTCGGAGAGCGCCTTGTGCAACTTCTGCTCTTGCGCGGCCAGGTTGTCCTGAAGCGGAATCACGACCCGGTTGACCCAGTAGAACTTGATCATGGCCAGCGTCCAAGCGAGCAGACCGGCCACGTTGCCGCACACCTTCTTGGCCATGGCCAGCGTGTACTCGGCCGTGTCCATGTAGGGCTCGCAGAGGTCGGCGATCTCTTCGTTGAGCATGTAGCGCGGGTAGTTGAGGAGGCTGCTGAGGAAGCCGGGCTGCGCCATGAACTTGAGCGACTCGGACCAGGACGGCTGGAAGGTGGGTCTGTCGGCATGGCGCCGGACGGGGTCAATGGCGCGGTAGAAGAGCAGCAGGACGCAGTCCATGATGCGCATGATGAGGAATGGCGGCTTGCTGAGCTTGCGGACCGTGGCGATGTCGACGGGTCGGATGGTGTTCAGCGCGTCCTCGGCCTCTTGCAGAGCCGGTTTTGCCGCCTCCAACTGCTTCTGCGCTTGCGCCTTGTCCTGATTCAACTGCGACACAAACGTCTGGCACCGATTCTTCACCTCTTCCACGCGGTTTTTCACTTTGGCCGCCGCCTGCGTCTGCTGCATCACATTCACCAAGACACGCTCGGCCGCGCCCGACGCCACCTGCAGCTCCACCTCTTTTCCCGCCAACTCGATGCGCAGCAGATCGACGCTGGCCTGCGCCTCGATCAGTTTCTGCACGCCCGAGTCCATGCGCACAATGTTGCCGTGGATCTGACACACCTGCTTCTCGTACACCTGATCCCGATCACACAGTCACAAACGGAAGCATTTAGTAAAATCACACTTTTGCTAAATCACATGAACATATGTGCAGGAATCTAATGTTGAGAATTATGATGACTTGGGACAAGATGCTTTATACTAAGTCACCCTGGCAACATTAAATGGTACATGAGCTGTGTACACCCTACCTCGTTTAAGATGCTAAATGACGGACAGTTGAATGCTCACACAATCACATGAATTGATATGCTTCTCGTAGACCTGATCCCGATCACACAGTCACAAGCGGAAGCATTTGGTCAAATCACACTTTTGCTAAATCACATGAACACATGTGCAGGACTCTGATGTTGGGAATTATGATGACTTGAGACGAGGTGCTTTCTACTAAGTCGCCCTGGCAGCATTGAATGGTACATGAACTGTGTACACCCTACCTCGTTTAAGATGCTAAATGACGGACAGTTGATTGTTCACACAATCACATGAATGGAAATGCTTCTCGTGGACGTGATCCAGATCACACAGTCACAAGGGGAAGCATTTGGTCAAATCACACTTTTGCTAAATCACATGTACACATGTGCAGTTCGCGCCCGGCTCAAGTGGACGTCACTTTTGACCTCGCCTCACCTGCGGGACCCCAACCTGGATCGCGTCAGTACAAAATATACTCTTGACACACCCGCCGCTGCGCCACACTGCCACTAGTGCCGATGGGTTGGGGAGACAATGCGCATTTCCACACACCTCAGGCAAAGCTGCATTTGACATAGAAATCGACTGCACTACTTATTTTCACCCCATTTAAGTAGGCTGGTCGACACTACCGGCAAACCAGTATTTATTTTTCGTGTTTGAGTAGAGTTTCGAGACTATCAGTAAATGAGTCATATGAGATGTATTCACTATATTTCGTTTGAGGTGATGAAGGAATGGTTGTAGAATTTTGCCACAATCTGATGAGTAAAGATGAGTTTTCATTTAATTTCACAGAGCCTTCCTTTTCCAAAGTGGTCTGCAGTTTTGATCTCACATCGGTCTTATCAACACCCCCAGCGGGAGTCGAACCGTGACAGTGCAGAATGTGAGCTTGACCTGTTAACCACTCTACCACATTGCCACGAGTGCCCTTGGGTCAAATGGCAGATGTGAATTTAAAGAAGGGCTAGGCCTTTTGTCATATCACATTCTTTGGTGGGAGTGTCGATGAAGCAAACGTATATTTGCTATTAAAATCGACTACGCTACTTATTTTTCGTGTTTGAGTAGAGTTTCGAGACTACCAGTACATCAGTAATATGAGATGTATTCACTGTATTTCGGTTGAGGTGATAAAGGACTGGTAGAAGAAACAAGGCAATGTGAAATTCAATGTAAACGTCAGCTCAACTCATATCATTGTGGGAAATTTCTTCTTCTAACAGTCCTTCATCACCTTAAACGAAACCGGTATTTATCCCACTTGGCTAAAGGTGACGAAGGACTGTTAATTGAAATGACCCACAATCATGTAAATAAGCAAGCAAGATTTTATGAAATTCACTGCAATCTTGAAAAGTGGTCATTGGCTTGTGGGAAAATGGAAAAACCAGCCTAATGAATTAGGGTCAATACAGCAGCTCTTGCATCAGAGCTACTGGTGGTCTTGAAAAGCCTACTTAAAAAGGGAAAATGAGTAGTCTAGTCTATTGCAATAGCATATACAGCTTTGCTCTGTCGTGAGGGCCTACTCATATGATAGTGGGAAAAATGGACTACCAAGCATACATCGCCTTAAACGAAATTGGTCAAATAAATCCCTTATATCAGGCATACTGTTCATATATGAGTTGTCTGGAAAACCTACTCCCTTACGAAAAAAATACTGGCGATAGCCTCGAGAACCAAATCAAGAAAGAAGAATAATAAACTAGACCTCGTACAATCGCCATCGAAGTGGGCATGTACTGGCAAGCAGAGTATAAAATGCTAGGAAGATTAAAGTTTTATTCATCATCTACTGACAGTCACGATAGTAGTACTGTCAAACATACTGGAGGATACATTTTTGGCTCAGAAAAAATGTCCACTATAAAATGTGGTTCATGCGAGGTCTAGCTTGCCTGTACTTGCAAGTCTTCACTTGACCAAACGTAAATCATGTCAGTGCGGCGTAATGGTACTACAACAGGCCAGGTTCTATTGCCGCTGGGGTTGATGATGTGTCGAGTTCAGGCGGGGTCGAACTTGGATGGAAATAGCCTTTTGCAAACAAGTCCGTACGAAAACGCATCAGCGACTCAGCCGATTTTGGGCCGCTTCACTATCCATCCTTGATCACATCAAACCATCTAATGTGACCATAACTCTTGTTCAAGAGCTAATGAAAGTGTCGAGAGTAACGCTTTCGACTGCCATGGCCTGAATGTGCTTCAAAATTATCATTCATTCCAGAATAGCAACAAGCATATTTGTGTGTTCAAGTAAAGAAGGGTTTCGAGGCTATCAGCAAATCTAGAAAAAAATGTTCAGTCAGGCTAAATCGCAACAAGGGACGAAAGATTGTCAGTCACATTTTGCCACAATCCTGAATTTCCCTTATCCCCAACTCCTAAAAGGCATTCTCATCCCGGCCGGACTGGACGGCACTTTGTCTCGGGCTCGCTTCACATCGTCCAATTCGAACCGCTAATGGAAGTCGAGCCTTGTTTGTGTTAGTGCAACATGCAAGTTTGGCATGCTGTCACAAGTCCCTTGGACAAGATGTTGAGATTACACGCTGCACCATAGCAACCCAAGGTCAATTCCTGTTGCGAGTGCTAATGATACGACATTAGCGATGTCGAAACGTCAGTCCAGTCTGGCCGAAAAGAGAATACCTGTTGGCAGGCAAGGATGAGGTAAATTCAAAAGAAACATGCCAATTTGGGAAAATTCAACAGCCAGACCTTCATCAATTTGTCATTCTAGACTGACGACAACTATTATTCACCAATGAGATGTATTCACCCTATTTGGTGTAAGGTGATAAAGGACTGGTAGTCGAATTTTCTCACAATGAAATGAGTTGAGCTGACGTTTCCATTGAATTTCACATAGTCTTGCTTACTCAAAAGTTGTTCTCATCCAGACAAAAGTGGACTGGTTCGATTCCCGCTAAAGGTGTTGATAAGACCAATGCGAGGTTGAAAGTGCTGTCCAGCCCAGCTGGGATGTGAACAACTTTAGGAAAAATAAGACTATGTGAAATGGAATGGAACCGTCAGCTCAACTCATATGATTGTGGGAAAATTCTTCTTCTACCACTTCTTCATCACCTTACACGAAATTGGGTGAATACATCTTATATTATTATTCACGAGTTGTATCGGTCGGATGGTTGCATTTTCCCACAGTCACACAATCCGAACTCAGGACGCGATTGAATTTCAATTCGGCAATCTCGTATCGGATGCAGTGCAGATGCGATTTCGCTTTATCGTCTCATCAGCAATCACAAAAAGCGATTCCAACTAGACTCGTCCGCTACCCACGTCCACCCACAGCCAAGTTTACAGTGTATCACAGAATGAATGTGATTTTCAAGACAATCGTGGCCTCTTTTGAATCACATTTTCAAAATGATGAGATGG